GGGACAGCAGTAAAGTGGAAGATGAGGGGAGAGAAGGTGAGGAGAGTGGCTAGTGAATGTTTAAATATTAAGGTGATTAAGGAGAGAGCCTTTCCTGGGCCCGGGAATGAACCACCCCCAAGGGCCCCCCCCCATCCCCCATAAACCCAAACAGAAAGCTGGAAAAATGTAAAGACCCAGATTTGAAAACATTTTCACTTTAATACTGAAAAAATATGCCATTATAAAATCCTCGAATAGAATTAGTAAGTTTCACGTGCTTCCTCTGTTCTTTGTTCCTACTTTATAAGTAAGATGTATACCAGCACACAATTGCTACCATAGGATCGCAGCCTAAGCACTAGAGTGACATTAATTGGTCATGCTTAACTGCCCCAGAATCTTTTTTCTTAAATAATTACACTGGTACTATAATAGAAATCATGGGTACTTATTTTACATTCAGATGGAAGGCATTATTGGATATGTATAGAAAAATATTCCCCCTCAGAAATTAAAATAAAGTCAAACATCACCATCAAAATAAAATAATCCAAAACAACCCTTAAAAACTTTGCTCAACAAAATACATCGTTAACTCATAAAATGGACGGATGACTAGCCATGCAAATGTCTTAAATAAAACCTTTACATTTTTTTTCACAGTAAACATACTCTCTGAACTGCCTACCAATCACAAATAATGGCAAAATGGCACTTTCTGATTATACTGTATTTTGTTTATAGAAAGTTTGATACGATGGGACTTATCAGGTAAGAGGATGGGTGCTGTGACGCCGTCTCCAATCGCAGTGGGGAGTTGGAGTTGGGGGGGGGGGCAGAGTCCCTGGAGCGTGGTGTGGATTCCATGCGAGCCATGCAGCACTTTTTGTTTTTTGTTCTTGTCAGGAGTCAAAGTTATTTATTTACAATACATTCATGCCTTTGTGCAACTGCCCATCCCTGCATAACCAACAGGGAGCCATCTTCGGGCTATCCACGGGGGGGAAAAATAGATATCTATCTCTCTATATAGATGTGATATATGTATATATGTATAGAGCCACTGCAGCCAGCCCCAAGGGACTTTTGGCCCGAGCAAGGGCGCAAGGGCGCTCAATTCTTCTGGCAGGCCCCATGCTGGGCTTTCAGTCAAAAGGAGCTAGGAGCAAAGAGCTAGCGAGCTGTGCTTGCAGCTCCACAGTCTGCTCTTTGTTTTCAGACGGGAGCTTAGGGGCCAGACCCTCTTAGCTGAATGAGTTCATAGTTATTTATTTACTTATGTCCATCGGGGCTTGTGACACGCTAGATCTGGGTCAATGTTCTCCTGCTCCCCCGAGATGCTGGCGGCAGAGGAGGATACATCGCCTCCTTCACTCCTCCCCTTTAGGGTCTAGAGCTTAGTCTGAGAGTGAGTGAGAGCCGCAATCGTACACCCTGTGGGCCCCATCTGCGTTGTAAGGCCCATTGTGCCAGTAGGAAGAGTCACAGACTGTCTGTAGGGAATTAATTTCGGACGCTGAGGAATTGGCATCCCTTCTCTTGGACCGCTTTCGGTTCCTCAGGATAAACACGAGCATGCCCACCACGGTGAAGGCGGAGGTGACGAACACCAGCAGCAGTCCCGGGACCAACACGGAGATGGACACCCTGCTGGTGTCTAGGTAGGAGTTGGAGTGCGTCCCGGTCTCCGCCAACCCAGTGCTGTTTTTACTGTGCGAAGTTAACGTGGGCGAGATCCTCGCGTACAGCTGGGGGCAGATCTCGTCATTGGAGAGCAGCATGAAATCCTTCCTAAAGAAGTTCACCGGCGTCTCACACTTGAGGTCGCTCATCAGCACCTCGGAGCCCAGCCGTTCTGCCCATTGCTTGAAAGGCACAATGGTGCAGGAGCACTCCCAGGGGTTGCCATGCAGGTCTATCTGGATGATAGAGGTTAACTGGTCCAGCACCCCTGCCACTGGGAGGTACATGAAGTAGTTATTGTGCAGGCTGAGCTTAGACAGGGAGACCCCAGCAAAAACGTCCACTGGTAGCGACCTCAGCAAGTTGTTGTTGAGAATAAGAATCCTCAGCTTGGGCATGGCATTAAAAGTACCAGGGAGGATGAGCTGAATCGCGTTGTACTCCACGTTCAGATACTCCAGATTCTGCAGCCCAGTAAATTTCTCCCGGGACAGCGTGTCCAGGTAGTTGCTATCCATGTACAGCCACCTGAGGTCCAAGAGGTTCTTGAAAGTGTTGTTCTCTATGTTCGCGATGTTGTTGTTGCCCAGATCCAACAGAATGAGGTTCTTGTAATCCACAAAGTGTGATTTTCGGATGCTGTGGATCTTGTTATCTCGAAGGAAAAGCTCCTGCACATTGGAGAGCTTAGGCTTCAAATCAGCCAAGCTGCTCACGTTCCGGTTGTTACAGTTCATCTTTAAGCCTGAGCCTGGGATGTGGTCACAGCTGCAGCCTCCGGGGCAGGGCAAGCCTTGTACTGGGGGTTTGTTTCTGGCGCTCCCAGTTGCTATCGGTGGTGTGGGTTTGATTTTGAGCTGCCAGTTGCCCGGGATCTTTGTACCTCCATTTGGAACAGACCCTGGGGTGGCATGCTCGTCTTGCCCATTTGTCTTGAAAGGAGTTGGCAGGGGGCCAGGAGCGAAGGTCTCTTCCTGGGCTGGGGGAGCCGGGAGACTAGAATCCACTCGGTTTTTCAAAGGACATAAGTCCTGTTCAGTGGTTTCATTGAGGTCTTTCCCCTGTAGTCTGGTGGGGGCTTCGCAGACCACTCTGCCGATCAGGGCATTTTTGGGAATGTTCTCCAGCCATTCTTTCAGAGAGAGCAGATCACAGGTGCAGTCCCAAGGGTTATCCTCTAGCAGGATCTCAGCAATGCCAGGGATCTGCTCCAAAACCTCCTCATAAGGCAGTGTTTTCAGCCTGTTTCCCCGGAGGTCGAGGTGGGTGATGGGCACATACTGGAATACATTGGCAGGTAGGGTGCTGATGAGATTGTCGTTTAAAATGAGGACTTCCAACTTGTTCAAGTCCTGGAAGGCCCCCGGGTCTATATCCCGTAATAAATTAAAATCAGCCTGGAGGTATTCCAGATCGTCCAGCCCCAAAAAAGTCTGCTTTCGAAAAGACTTGATCTTGTTGTTGTTGATATGCAGCCTTTTCACCAGCTGCAGCCCCAGAAAAGCCCCCGGAACGATTTCATGCAAGCCATTGTTTTCCATATGCAAACTAACCGCATTATAAAAGTTAGCGAACTCATTAGGGAAAAGTCGAGTGAGGGAATTGCCATGCAGGAATAAATGGTAAAACTGGGAAGTCGGGGCGGTGAAGCGCTGCAGACTTGTAAAGCCCTTTTTTTCACAGTCTACGTGTAAGTCCCCTTCTATCTCATTGCAAGAACAGATCTTCTCTTTACAAACGTCCCC